TAATTCGATAATATGGTGATTTGATTAAACACAACGCGTGTCGCGTGTAATTTTGTACTCAAACATGTCACACACTACTACGTGACTGATAGAAAAATTACGACCACATTTTGTGTTATCCTCAAATCATTCAGCAATAAAATGTCGGATGTGATATTCATACGGTAAGTATATAGCAGTGCCTGTAAGCAGCCGCCTTACGTTACGTTGCGTAGATTAGCATACCAATACACTGTCGCATAGTCATTTATGTCTCATATTCTCCTACAGTTGATAATTTTCTGACCGGAAAACGTAGTTATTCCTTTCTACGTTACTCTCAACAAAATGTCAAGTACTTTACTGTTATAAATGAGTAAGCTACTAATATTGTATTTACATTTTTCAATGTCTCTATTTTCACAAGCAATGACTGCGGCTTACATAACACGTGAGAGGTATGTTTTAACAGAGACTCTGTTCATACTGATCGTCACGAGTTGTATTCTGCCTCCTGCCGGAATGATTACATGCTTATTTGAACACAATATCAGGCCAGGCAGGCACCTCATCTGTTCTAGGCTAAAATGACTAGTCATGGTGGTATACATTGGTTTTGCGTGTGTGTTTGTACTATTTTGTACAGTATATTAACGATGCATTAAAATAAGTCTGAAAGTTAAATGCTTGTTAAATGGTTTTGAGCAACGTATATTTAATTAGATCAAAAAGTAAAACAGTTGCCCTAGGTGAAATGGTTGCCTAGGTGAAGTAAAATACGCCACTTTTTCTCTGTGGAAGAAATCAGACGGATACACAATTTGCCATGTAACAGTTACGTCTAATTTTTGTTTTAACACAGAAAACATTCCATGTGTGCAAATTATCTGAAAGTTTTTTAAATTTTTACTTTATATACACGGTAATAAGAATATCAACGTTAACATAACGTTAGGGTTGTTCTTCATTTTTTTAGAGTAATTACGTTAAAAGCAGCAGGGAACTAATGGCAATAACTCACTTGCCTCAGTAGTTTTCACATTAACTCAGGGCTATCCCTGCAATCATAAAATCCACATACTACTGTGCTAGTATCGGTCACGGTTCAGTTCATAATTTTAACTAGTTTTATAATACCTAATCATTAGGAGGAGTACATTAGCACACCTGTCTCCTACTTTTAACTGATTATTAGTGGGCTTTAGAATACCAACACATGTCATTGTCGGGTCCTTTTTGTTAGCCCTACTTGTGTTGGTTCCACTTCGAGCTGTTATGTTTTACCTATCCCACACCCCCTCATATGCCCAGGACGGACTAGCAATCGTTCAATCCCGACAAGTCTCTGATCGACCTGGCATGCTTTCTCCATCCCATCCCTCTGTCCTCAAGTTCCTGGGACCTACCTGGTATTTATCCCCTATCACACCCATTACACATATCGTTGTCTTTTCCCTTTCCCTAATCCCGCTCTCGACTTAACGGAGTTTACCTCGGTGACAGTGCTTGGTTAGGAATGTATAAACTGCAGACACATTGCCACCCCTCTTAAAGCCAACTATGTAGAAATTATTACTAAGTACGTAATTATTAAGTAATTAGTTGTTACTATTAAGCATGGGGCTGTAACACACCACATTCTAGGGAGGTGCGAAATTGACATACTTATTTATATAATTGATTATATTTAAACATCATTACTTGTCAGGATATTCATATATATCACGATTCATTTTTTACCTTTAACTCAGTTTTATATTGATAAATACCTGAAATTGCATGGATTTAGACTGAAGTCACCGTTTTTTATGAGATACAATTTTATACATTTCTTCTGTGACTTCAATTTTACAAATGCCTGTCTTACCATGTTTAATTACAATGAAAATGTAGTCAGCAAAGAGTTAGGAAAACGTCTGCAAAACTAGGGCAAGCGAAAGCTACGATTCTATGCGATAAGTTCGTTTTAAGCAATCAGACACAAGAAAAGTTATTAATTTTATATAGCATTACCATAAGGGAGGATTAAACTCATTACGTTTGGCAATTTAGCTACGTCGGTGTGATGATACAGAACGTAATACATAAGGCTGTAATACTACACCTGCTGGCTTCAATTGCCAACAATTCATCGAAACGAACAAAACAGCAGGTACTTACTTGCTAAAGAGAGACATCAGTATGGGAGATTGATTCGTTGAAATTGGAATGGTTTTGTCGTAACAGGTGCTTTATTGGCAATTAATCCTGCAAATGTATTGCATGAAGAACTTAATGAGATAGATAGTGGAAGTGCTGAGCCCTAGCACTTAGCTTCATCGGAGGCAAGATTGATCAGCTGCGGGTTCTATCATAGCTCTTTTACCTTTAACAGATTTAAAGTGATCTGTTTGTAGACCAAAATATAGTTTATTTACTTACCATAACAACGCATATCACTTAAAACGTCTTCACAGTGCATCAGATACATGGAAAATATATACTATTAGAACAGTCAAAGGGAACACTCGTTTCTGCTAATATTCCGGCGTAGAAAATTAGACACAAACGCCATTTTGAATTCAATTTAGATTTAAGTTACCGACTACGGGGTTATAATGTGTGAACAAAATATGATGGTCTTGAAAACAAGAATAGGAGGATGCATTAACAAACTACGGCTGTAACACACTCACAGTATAATTGCCTTTCTTGTCGGTTTATTGTGTTCTGGTCTAATGATAAGTTGAAACTTAAAACTGGTCGTATTATTACAGCTAGATATGTTCCAGACCCACAAGTATTTGCTTTTAAAGCTTTAAATAAAAAATAAAATCATTTTTATTGAATCATCCGAATTAACGTTCGAAATACAATTAAGCCTTGTTGTGGTGTCTGTCCTGAATATCCCATAATGCATTGCTAGCTTGGCAAATTAATTGAAATGAAATCGTTTAATGTAATAAAATATCTTTATTCGACATTAAATATATCTTATTAGGATGATGGTGATTTCCAAGAGACTGTGGCTGGAGTTATATTGCTCGAAAAAGACTAAAAGATACCGACATTGTGCGGTGAAGTATCATTCAAATCGCACTGGTCTTTCTTTATTGATATCATGTGAAACTCCAATTCATGTTTAATGAGGGGAACTTTAGTATAAAAGGCCATTAGTGCTTCCTCTAGGGATTTTTTTCATACAAAGCAAGTGCAATGGTCAATGGGGTTTTACTTTACAAGAGTAAATGACATGTGTCGTACAAATCTAATCACGAACCATGATCGGATTTACACGACATAACATATATTGATATCTTCAAGGGAATATTATTTAATTTTGACTGGTTATTTTCTGCGATCTCGAATTGATAAAAAAAATAGGAAAGGATATAATGACGCTGAAATCTTGGATTGACGTTATTTCCTTGCATATTCTGCCGTCGAAGTGGCACTGGAAATGCATATACTTGTGCAGTTCTGGTTTTTTTCTCTATCTGTTGATCTGAATTATCAGGGTAGCGCCACAGTTACCATATGTTACAAGACGCTAAGCTATGTTAGTATGTATCTGTTTGAATCAGTATACATGGCTTCTGTCAGGATGAGCAAGATAGGGCCAATGTGTCTAATAGGCGCGAGACATTAAGACTGCTATACCCACGTGATAGTCACAGAATAAACGACATCAATTTGATCATCATCACGTGCCTGGACTAATGTTTATTTGATAATATAAATAGATTGGTGTGGTCTCTGGCTATAATAAACAGAATTCGTTCATTCCACCGTATATTCTTATTTGCCTCAAAACATTGTAACCCGCCCATTTGCCATCACTGAAGTTAAACATTGAATGCTTTTCATTTATTTGTTTTGCGTTTCTAATGAAGATACACAACGGTTTTGTTGCGATAGAAATACTGGATAATTGAATTGTTTTAATATACTCTGTATCTGGTGTTACCGTTACCGTGATAGGTATAGCAAAAACCTCTTATTCTCAGACAATTTGCACTCAGATACGCATCTTTCATCTTCATTGGCAACAGCATCGCCATGTGTAATGTTAACGTTGGTACGTTAGTAGAGGGATGACATACATGCCAAATCAAATATCAATGATAAAAATGGAAAATAAATGAAATTGCATGGAACTGTATAAGAACACATGTGTTCTAACAGGAAAATAAATAAATCGAGTATTGTAAACGTACATGAATTTTCAGGAAAACATGCTGCATACAGATTATCTATGTCATACATATTATTATAAGGAACATTAGGTAAACCGAGTATGGAATGGAGTAAACATTGTGCATATAGAGTGCTGTTAGTTAACATGTTTCCACACAGAAATGTATACATACCTGGTATTTCTTTTAATTATATCGAACATTAAGTATAGCATGTACTGAAGAGGAAGGAAATAAAGCAACAAAATGTGAGATCAAATTTAGTGAAAGTGGAGTTAATGTAATGACAGTGACAGTTTGAAAGATGTTGATAGTACATTCATTCTGTAACTATCGTGATTCTGGAGACCCTGTGCCTGGCCTGTGTATATACATGCATAATATGATCTACGAATTAAAAAGAGAGAGGTCAGAAAGGGAACATATCAAGTATTGTTGTCAGCAGCGTATCGAATCTACATGTATGTAGTGATATTTGTTTGCATACGTTTGTACTGTACTTAATACTACTACTAATAATAATAAACAACATTAGATATAGCGCCCTATCTAGCTAGAATAACCCACTCTATGGTGATTTAAAGTACAAAGATATACAATTTATATAATCAATACAATTAGCATAGACATTAATCCATACAATTTAGAGAATTCGCAGGAATTTTGCATTAGCAAAAAGGTTATAAAACAGATAACCTTGCACGATTAAGTATATAAGGAAGTCAAAAATTAAAATAAATGACGAAATTGAAATATTCAATTTTAAGAGCCTTAAGTATATAAAAAGTTATTAGTTATGTTTATGATTAAACATTAACGTGTTCTTTCCTTCCCTTTTCTATATAGTTGGCCTGCCAATCTTGCTACTGTATAAGACAGGGGCACCCTACCATGCAGGATTCTTCTGTGACGATCAGAGTCTCAGATACCCCTATAAGAAAGATACCATCCCCGACCCCCTGCTACTTGGCATGGGGTTCTTCATTCCCTTCTTTATGGTAAGTAACACCATTGAAGTTTATTGGTTAACAGGAAAAACGCACTTTCAATATGAGCCTCTAATAGCTTCACCATTTAAAACTTAGCCGACCATTGCTGCAGTTTTTATTTAACGGAAAGTCTATTTTATGATTGTGTGAACTTTGAATTTTCTTGTTAGTAGAAACGTTCTTATACACAATATTCTATGTTCGGAAATAATTTTTGAGTTTCCTTACTAATCTGACCAATTGGTGACACGTAAGATCGATTGATGTGGTGTATAAATCATTCAACTTGAGTCAATTTCACCATCAATTAATATGCTACTACTACGACGAAACCTAAGTATAACTGGATATTACCCTCATTTGTAATACCAAGCAAACTTTTCAGACGGTAATTACATTGGTAATCAACTAATCTAAAAAGAGCTAGTTCTTAGGAATGAACGAGATTATCTGCCAAATGAGGAGAAGTAGCCCTTGTCAGTCAGTGTAACCTTATTGCTGCAGAACGTTTAGTAGAAATTCCCTTTAAATAGTTACTGAAAAGCTTATTCTGAATGTCTGTTAATCCTTGATGACTAGTTTTATGTTGTTTCAAAATAACCATATTGACACGTAACGCAATATAAGCATCAAAATAGACCAGTTACGCATTTAACACTTACACCAAGAGTCTTGATATAGGGCATTTGTTTTGTAAAATTAAGCATATTGTGAGAGATGTAAATACTGTACTTAGTACAACTAGATGATTGCTCAGCTGCCTATTATCAAACTGTCAGCTGTCAACATGTAATTAATCAAGCGTGTTTATTTGTTAATAATTAATGCTGTCAAAGGGGGATACAAGGTTCTAGTTGTTTTTAAAGACGAGAGATGATATTTTTCTATCATATAAAGTAACGATGAAATCATGTGACAGGAAAAGAAGTATTTTTAATCAGGGAACATAATATCTAGTATCTACGATTCCTTCCGTTTCTCATTCTGCTATGGAGTTTTATTTGTGATAATGTCCTATTTTCTATATTTATGATGACCAATATTATAAAAAATTATAAAGTTGTCAATGGATCTGCTCCTGTATTTTTGAATTCCGATATTGTTGATGAATCAACTGCCATATGGTATAGCAAAATGTAAATGGGTGTCTGGTTTGTCTTAAGCTTGTCATACCATGTTGGCAACTATCACAAAGATAGTGAGTACATGTATATTGGTAAAATTGTATTGAATCACATTTGAAGATGTTCTGACTAATGTGTATTTTTCCCTATACTAGATGCTGATGACAGAGGTCATCCGATGTTTGACATCTAGGGAACGAAGTTTGGCTAACAGAGACCTGCTCGTCTTCGTCAAAGGAGCGTGTGTATTCGTGTTTGGCTTTACTGTCGTGGAGGTCTTCATACAAGGTTTCAAATTTTCAATCGGCAGACCAAGGCCCCATTTTTTTGACGTTTGTCGACCAAACTTCAGTAGCATAAACTGTTCAGAAGGGTAGGTATACTAATATTTAGTGGAACCGAACGTTACTCTTTCATAAAAACACAAAATCGAATATAATAGTCATTAGCCTAAAAAAACCTCTAAGGTCTAGTTCAGAAAAAGGAAAAAGGACAAAAATAAAAAATGCACCGCATTGCAGCTGCATCGGAATATAGCACCAATAATGAGGTATTTGATCAAATATCTGGATGACCAGCTTCAGTAAACAAATCTTCGATATTAAATCACTTGAATTGAAAATCAGGTCAAAATGATAAATGTTAAATAATTTCTTCATCGAAGAACCTGAAACATATAGGGCAAAAAATCGCGAGCCAATTGCAAGAAGTTTATTGTTAAACGGTCTGATGTATGACCTTGAATAACGTAATCAGCTGTAACTAGTAGAGGCTGGTATTATACTTATAGTTTTGTTCATCTGTACAACCCAAATTCATATGATTTTAGCTTTTGCAAAGATGTTAAACCCCATACAAACAAACATATATACAAACGTGCGACACTAGCTACAATTAGGGCATTAACCTAAATCGTTCAGTATTTGTGAATAAAATTATCTGTTTGACAACTGTAGGTCCTGATTTTTGGTAATTATGCATATAATCTTTAGTGCAATCTTGAGAGATTCATGTTGCGTTAAATGTAAAGCTTTAACACAACATACATCTGGTTTGTGTTTAACGACATTAGTGTTAGCCATTACTATCTAGTTCGCTGTATATTTGAAAGGTTTAAGCGGAAGTTCTTAATCTATTTTGTCATTCCTGTATCATATTAACCTGATATGATCCATAAAGATAATATGCTCATCACAAAAGTAACAAAATGACATCACAAAGTCATACAATATTGATGGTGATATTCTAAGTTATATGTTTAATCTTCCACATTTCTTTTTCATTGTAGCTCTTATCAACAACACTATCCTACAAAAAAGTTTCTAAATCACACCATGGGGAAACATTGATACAGCTTCCTGCTATAAATCAGAAATAAGATGGATACATTTTCTCCATCAAGAACGGAACGTTCATAGTTACGATACCTAGTCCTGTTTTATCGCTGAGTCACACATACTATATATACGTACATCTGCTAACACTGTATTCCGGGCTTTTTATTTTAACAGATAAGTTTACAGTTTATTGGCTTTACAGAATAAAAAGAAGTAGCAGTAATTATGAGAACCACAGACTGAATCTTACAGCGTCAGTTGTTCGAACTTGCTTTCAACAAACGGAGAATAAGTTATGTTAGATCATGACACGAAAGAGGATTGAGGAAACATGTTTCAGTTGAGGTGATAGTTTACTTCGGTATAACTTGGTAATGTAAAACCTGTGAAAAACGTTCCCTAGGGTACATTTTTTTTCGAAGGGGCCATATTTCCACCTTTCACCGACGCTTCTCATAGTTAATGACGATCTTTTCATAAAGAATAAAGAACACGAAGAAAAATGCATCATACGTTTTGCTCTGTATTATCTATATTGTGAAATCTAAACAATGATTGTAGGTATGTTACAAACTACGAATGCACCGGGACCTCCTACAGTGCAAAGATCATGAGAGAGAGCCGATTCTCCTTTCTTTCGGGCCATGCTGCATTCTCTATGTATGGAGCCATCTTCACCAGTGTTAGTATTAGATGGAAAAGTACATATGTTAAAATAACGATCACCATTTGCCGCGGGATTACCGATGCTAAAGCATATTCGCTGTAATATTTCTTGTTTTTGGTGATGGATTTTCCTATTGACGTTGAGTGCGGATGTTTGTCCTTCTTTTGTTAAAGTTAACATGATTTCATTTGAATTCATATTTATGGTGGTATTTATTATATAATGATGTGTTGACCTATGCAAGCAAACGTTCACTTAACATTTTTTTATTTGACAACAATTGACGAATCGTTTGTTTGTCATGTATAGTTATACCTGGAAAAGAGGGTGAGAGTGACCTATTCATTGGTCCTAAAACCTGTCATCCAGCTGTCCCTGGTCGTGTTGTCACTGGCCTGCTCCCTAACACGTTACTATGACTACAAACATCACGTGTCAGACATCATTGCAGGACTTCTGCTCGGAACATGTAATGCTGTTTTTATAGTAAGTATACACTAACGTTATATGTTCTACGTAAAGAATATTGACCACCAGTTATGGAAAACTATTCGATTGTAAAGAATATGAGTTTAAAATGTTAAAATTAGTAGTCTTCAACGTTTACACTATGGGACCATCATTTGGGAGCAGTTGATGCTCGATTAATATATATGACCCTGAATACAACTGATTCAGAGTAGGAAACAGGGACAAAACCGATAAACTATTTTCCGTTCAGGCATCCGACTATTTTGATAGAGCAATTGACAGCAGAGTACACACAATTTTTTAATTAAAAAGGCGAAGAGAAAATTCCAAGAAGAGAATAAATACACAGAACATGCATTCAACCTTGAAAATATGCAACATTCTTAAAGAAAACATGTAAAATCAGATGAATGTGTAATAACCACCATCGTTTACAATGTTCCTTTGACGACGCATTTTAACATAGAAATGTCATTATGTAGTTGTTGATGCTTGCTCATTTTATGTCAAAGTAATAGACAAGATCGTTCTGTGTGGTAAAAACTGGCTAACAACCAACTGATTCAAACAAAATGTTCGTGTGTTGATGAAAAGTAAACGTATTCGACGGATTTTATCGCAAGCACTAGCGTAGAGATCTCTTGAAACACAGAAACGACGCTAAAACACTAATTAAATAATGAACATCATACAAAAACTGAATCCTCTATCAGAGTCACACATAAACGAGTGTGATCTTCTTGATTGTGAAGTTCTTTGACGCAATTTCGCAGGATGACTAATCATAACTATGAGACAATATTTAGGTTAACTGGACATTTAACGCAACATGAAACACATAGTTCTTTTGAAATTATATCGATCTAACAAGTGTAATTGGATTATTTTTGGGATGTTGTTCCGTAAAAATGATAGCAATTATACAGGGCGATAACACATGCATTTAATTTTAAAGCCAGTTCCTGTTTAGACCACGAAAGCATTTGTACTTATCTGAGTTATATCGCCACAAACAAAAAACAACAAAGACAACTTGAGAACTGTATGGGATATCTTCCTCTGTCTTCCATAGCATGCGTTCTGACACTGATCTGGTTTCAACCGTCCTGAGAACATCCTGAACAAAACAGACCATTGCCAAAGTTCATTACTCGTCCCCCACTATACGCTCAATGACGTCACGTGGTCTTCTAAATATGTTATTTTAGACGACAATGAATGGTTAAAATTAGGTTTGGTACCAGAATAATTGTTTCGATTCCCAAATGCATGACATGTCGAATTATGAGCAGTATCTGAGATAGCGTATAACACAAACGAATTACAGTTTGGGGGGCGTATATATGATAGCTTTACTATCCCCGCCCTTCGCTTCAGAACATTAGTCTCCATTCTAACTCTCATCTGCACACAAAACTTTATATCATTTTAACGAGTCTAACACCGTCTAATCATCAGCATCTCATGTTTTTACACTCTTATAATTTCGCTTGTTTTCCTGATTTTACCGACGCTACTCGTTTATATTTCCCTGTAATGCTTAAATCTGCATGTTTTTCTTTGCAGTATAAAGCCCTTGGCGAAAAAGTGTTACAAGATCGCAACTGTAAACAAGTGACGTTGAATCTGCCCAGGTTCGAAAAACCAAATATGTCCGGGGAAGCCCGAACGCCGACCCCGTTACTGCTCCGGCAGGATTCGTCATTCACATCCGCGGACTCGAGGGACTATTTGTGCAATAATGGACACATAAGGAGGACTGACATTGTCTAGCAGTTTGTTAATCAATGTTGTGTTGTTTATAGTAATGTTCTCCTAAAACAAAGTGGTAAATGAGTCACGTCACTTTGTTATGACAAATGTTCTCTCGTTTAGGGAACTGCCTAGGCATTTAAAGGAGAAGGAAGTTCTATCTGCACATCCCAAGACTGGTGGATTTATTGAGAGAAAATACTTCCATTAACGTTCCAAATAACATGTCATGTGAGGGTCAGCAGCATTTATATATATTGCATAAAATTAATCCGTCCATTCTATCACAAAAAGACCATTTATAACCATATAGCTGGTGCCTTTTGACATCGCGTAACTTCGATATATGGAAACCAAATGGCAGACGATAGCAATTACCAATACTTGATATAGATAATCTAGGTAGCGTTTGGCTACATGGGATGATGCTCATGGAGTAGGGGCGATGTACACCGTTACAGGCGGTCATTTTAGTAATGTGTGGGATATGAAAACATCAGCAACCCCTTATGTGACGAATGTGTTTGTACCTGGAAGAGTAAGCTTATTTCAGCTAGAAATAACATAATCATCATTATTATGTGGAGGAATGACATGAAAGACCGTTGAGATTAAAATGCCTTTTCAATGTGGTCTATTGGTTTTACTCCAAACCAGACGTAGTGTATATATATATATATTCTCCCGTCCAGCTGACGGTGCTACGGTATCTCTTTTCAAGACTGATTTCTACACCAACCCATCATGCATTTACATCACCGAAATATCTACCTCAGAATTAACCGTGTATTTGATGCAATATGCACTTATATATGTTTTTGACATGTTTTGCAATCGTCATAAAATGTATGTAGACTTTGTGTATTGCTGTGGGGTTATTTCCATAAAGTCGATACGATAATTGTACGTCACAAATGAATAGTTCAGAATTTGACCGCTTTGTTGTATTGTTCTTAGTACTAGTGTATTGACAACAGTATAAGGCAAACGAACAGAGACATGTATATTCATATTTCATATGGTAATGATAACACATCAATGCTATTTCTTGGTTTAGCACAAAACATACGCAGGCGCATGCGTATTTTGTATCAACATCAGCTAGTGAATGGGAAACCGCATTTACACAACAATATCATCCGTCATTTTTAAATGCTTGACTGTTAATGAATTTGTGCAATTACAAAGTGATAAAATGTTAAAAATTAATCGTATTATTTTAATAAATCGACAATAGATAAAGGTAACATTGCCACTGTCACTCAGTTGTTGACGTATACGTACTTTTGTAGTTATGAAGTCATTTTTGATAATGTGAGATACGATGTAGATTGTACATGCATTATCCGTATGTTTATCGCCTATGTAGTATATATATTAAAACGGCAGCTGTGTAGATACAATCTTCTATTTTATCTTTCACCGTAAATAAGTATTTCCTTTATGTATATACGTATTATGTGCCTGAAGGTGTATGTATATATAATGCTAAACCATATCAAAACGGAAAAATACATAACAATATAACTTTTTAAAATGTGCTTGGAAAGTAAAACAAACCAAAATGTAAAACTTACTTGAACAAACAAATATGTTTAATATGTGATATATATCGTAAATTATAGAATAGAAATATCGTGAATTGTTTGTTTTCCAATAATAATGTTCATGTTGCTAAATAAGAATTTTTGTCTCTACTATTCAGATTGCAATATCATAGCTTAACATAATATAACAGACATAAATTAAGAACATAGCATAAGTTAATAAGTAAATACGAAAGAAACACAACACCTCTGACAACTGATATTTAATGCAACCTATTTGTTAGAACAAAAAAAAAAATGTTTTCGAAAAGTATGTATTACTCAAAACATCGCGTCTGATAATATTTCTATGTAAACACAATCCAAACAGAGGATCCAGACGCTTGTAACAATGGAACCTCGATAATCGAGTCATTTAGGTTATTCTCTGTACGTAATCTAACCACTTTCCTTCCAAGTAGATAATCCATCCATTTTTGCTCTCAGTAGATAGTCTATCCATCTTACTTTTTAGTATATTGTCCAATCCCCTTTGTTTTAAGTAAATGATCAACCGACCTTTATTCCATAGCGGATAACCCAGCTACCTTTCGACTCACTGGATAACCAAGCCACATTCGTAGATAATAAAGCCACCTTAGATTTCATTAGACAAACAATGCATAAGATTTTTTAATAAATAATACAGGAACTTTCGTTCTCGGCAGAATATCCAGCCGCCCATTTTACTTCACAATATATATATCCAGCTATCTGGCCACCAAGTAGATAACCTTACCAATATTTGTTCTCAGCAGATAATCTAATCAACTTCATATTTAGTAGATAATCAAACCACCTTCGTTCCCAGTGAATAATCCAGTAACTTCCTTTCCAGTTCACAACCACACCAGACCATCTTAGTTGTCAGCAGATAACCAAACCATCTTCCTGCTCGGTAAATGATGCACCCATTTTAGTTTTCATAAGGTAATCCAGCCATCCTGTCTTAACAGATAATCCACACACATCAATACTCTGTAGAATATCTAGCCACCCTATTCTCAGCAGATAATCTTACCCATCTTTGTTCTCATTTGATAATCAAGCCATCTTGTTCTCAGCAGTTAATCCACCAATCTTAATTTTCAGTAAATAATCCCTCACTTTAGGTCACAATAGTTAATGCAACTACCTGAATTCCTCGTAAATAATCCATCAACATGAGTGCTCCGAAGATGTACCACCCAAAATTTGGTCACAGTACTTTATCAAAACATTTTAGTTCTCAGTATATCTCCTAGACATTTATGCTTTAAGAAAAAGATCAAGTCATCTTATTATTCAGTAGATAATCCATCTACCTTTATTTTCAGTAGATAATCCATCCACCTTTATTTTCAGTAGACTATCCAGCCACGTCCATTTTCAGTGAGGTAGATAGATTGTAGGTATCGGAATTACTTGAACAATTAACATAGAGAAATATTCCCCTAAATCATTAGCTAATGTTAGGACAATCAAACTACTTGCTCCAATTTCACGAACGTTCGTGAACTTTACAAATATTTCAATCTTAACTACTTCAACAGGAAACATGGCAGGCATTTTAGATATAGCTTCATGGAAAATTAAGAAATGTTTGTGTGAATTTCGAGTAACATGTCTAGAAAAGTTACATAAGAAACAATCTTGTCCGTTCGACACACAGCATATATAGTGACAACGTTTAAACCGAAATCATTATTAATAATTAAGATATTACTGTTTTTAAACAGATACATTAACTACCTTATAAAACTACATTACACTTGTGTATATAAATTAACACTTTAGTCACGATGAAGTAAGTAGATTATATAGGTCTGAACTTTGAGTTTTACCTAAGTAGAGAACGGTTCCAATACACAAATTGATGTTAATGAACTCTTTAAATAGTGTTATTGTAAATAACTTTGAAACAGGTCTATGAATAAACATATTTCTGTATCAAGAAGTTGTTTTGTTTTCAATTATATAATTATATAATCATAGAAAAACTCGAGAGTACATCCTTTTCAATATTAAATATATTTCTTATGAAAAGAAAGAAAATTATAGAATACCGAAGTGTAGACCTTATACGACAAAACTAGGACAACATATGAGCAATGGTATAATCTATTGAAAATCCATGAGAAAACCACAAAAAGGCTGAATATTCCAGAAGGGTAAACATCTCCTGTGTTAACGACCAAACTCGCCATATCCATCTTCATCAAATCCATAGCCTGTCATGTCCTCTTATTAGTGAAAATAATCGAAAAAATCGATAAACATAACCAACAAGGAATTATAACCTTTCTTGATGTCGAATATACAACCTTCCCATAGTAAAGTTCAACATGCTCCCTCATTCATGTGTGGTAAGCTTGTCTGTCATGATTCGATAGCATGGATTTCTTTTTATATTCGGTGTTACCCAGTGAATATCGAATCAACATGTAAACACCGAAGATGTGGCAAGCAGAGATGTTACTTTCAAGAAAAGGAAAGTAAACAATAGGAAAATTGAAATTTCAACACTTGAAAGAAACACAGTTAAGTAGTCAGCCATCCCTGTTGGCGGTATTGTAAGGAAACATCTAAGGAAGCGGCTAATGTTGAAGACCATATAGCGTCCTTTAGTTGAAGTTCAGAAGGATACATACGATCGACGTGGTTTATCCCTCCGTTTTAGAAGCCAACATCAAAAGACAAATGGAAACTATTCTTAACGTCAAAACAAAAAATCGGGGACAACGAAAGGTGGTCATAGGTTTTTGTCAATGCTACTATCTCACATGACGTATATTATTCATTGTCAAATAAATTTATTGCAATAAAATATTTTTATCGATGATCAAGTATCTTTTATTAAACTATCAGAGAGAACATTAATACATTTCACTATAAAACTCCTCTCTACCTGCCACATAGACTTAGAGTTATTTTGCAAGTTTATATCATGATAATTGAATGTGTGAGGTTCCCTTTGAACATCGGAAAATAACACCTGGTTATCGAGAACGGCAAAGGTTACTGCAACACAAGTTCTAATTGAAAGTGAAATTCGATCAACAGCAAATTCCTCCATTGAAGTCATTTTTTGTTTTTATTAATCAGGAGGCCAACTGATTGGCTAGTCTAAAATAGCTAGCGGTAATAAGATGCAATGTCAATGTCAATTAAAAAGATGCAATTAGTGAAATACTTGATATGATTAATAATTCGCTATTTAAGGTTATAAGCAGAAGCAGACGTTAATGTTTAATTAACACTGTTCGACTATTAAGAACAGCTTTTCATAACATTGAAATGCCGGAACAGTTTCTATAATTTAAACAAAGATAATAGGTGCAGCATATGTGTTAAGTATTTACATGGCTTTTGATCAAATATTTTATATTCCTAGAATGGTTCAATATTCTTCGAATTGGGCAAAAGTTGAATATGAATGACATAAGAAATGGAGAGGGATTTTAATTACCATTATTTCATAAGTAATTATATAAAACTTAATTTTCGTTTTAATCGTTCTATTTAATAGCATTTTTAAACTTTCGTTTCCAGTAGCAGGCATTTTTTTATGATATATATATCATAGGCTATAATCAGAAACGCATCAATATAACTGACGAGGTAACAGTACACCAGGCTTATCCTGCTGATAACCAGTTGAAAAAAAAAAAATGAAAATTCCGATAAAGAGATTTTTCATTTCAGTAATAATTACCATAACTTTAGTATGCATATACAATACCTACACCCATCTTTGTAGCCCAAAAACAAAAGATTCAAATATCCCTACCTCCCTACCGTGACGTAACCTCTATCTCGATGACAGAGCCACGGAGTGATCTCCCTTCCTCTTCCTTTTATGGCGCCTGCTGCATGCTGACGCACGGAGCTTGCTCCAATTCAAAACATTGTTTTGTCGGTTTGGTTTGAGTGTCAACTCATATTTTTGCGCAGTTTGTGTGCCTTATACCCATCTGCCTTTATTGATATAACTAATTGTTGTTGAAAATTATTTTTGTGCCTTTTACGGCCGGTTATTTTACTCCACGTGTGCCGGTGGTGTGCCACGGTCCGCCATTATCGTGGGTTAATTTCCGACCTCTGTTTATTTCGGTGACGGTTGTTTGTTTCGGCAAACGTTATTTATTTTAACCGTTTTCTGATTTATATTACGGGTGAAATTCTTTCTACGTTGCGTACTTTGTACTATCGTATTTTATCCTTATTTTCCCGTTTTATCTGCTTGTAAATTTTTTGTTTACGTTCGCTTTGGAGGGTATGTCTCGGTCGGGACAGCGACGAGGTAGTGCTCATGGGTGTTCCCATTTCTTTGTGGAACGGGACCCTCATGATGCCTGTCCCAGGTGTC